ATAGAATAACTAAGGAGAAAATTTTCTATCTAATGTTCTAAGAGTGGGAAGAAAGGCATTCTACATAGACTGGGGTACTGCTTCTATTTCATAATCACTCTTCTAGTAAACACAGTATCACTTCTTTTGCAGTAACATTAATTCAATAAACATTTAGTTTTGGGATAACAATAGTAATAATTGTACCAAACATCTCTTCATCTCTTAATTCTTTGTAGTTTGCCAACTTCACTGGGAATTTCTCAGAGCTGGATACAGTGTTCTGCAGACATTCATCTTTTATGCCAGTGAGGACAAACTAGAGAACAGGGACAATTATGTAGCTGAGAAAATAAGTGTGAGTAAAATACTATTTTGATGGAGATCTAAGTGGATTAATTTCAAAATGCCTAGTAGAAAGAATTACTTAGTATTTTCGAAGTTTGTCATAACAGTTTTGGTTATATTTGAGGACCAAAGAATGAGATGATGCAATTTCAGCCTTTGGAATAGTAGAAAAGGCAAGATTAAAGGAGAAAAAAATACCATAATGGGACAAGGATGAAGAGAGGAAAAAGGATCTTATTTTTCCCACCAGACAAGATTGTTTACTGGAACTTTGATACAATTTATAGGGAGGACTAAATGCACAGAGAGCAAAATCAATTGAAAAAAAAGAAAAACTTTAACAACCAGAGAAACAAATCAACTGCAAAAATACTGAAGAACCCTAGAGAATAATGACTGTCTAATAAGAACTCAGTGGTTTTTAGAACCATGTCTTCAATAAAGTAACAACAGAAAAATCCAAGTTATACACTGTGGACAGTATTTCTCTTCTCATGTATAAGGATAATCTGGTAGAGTAACGGAAGTACCATGTTGGTGTTTTTTTTTATACCCTACACATAGGAACTGAAGAATGTTGGGTGCCTTCATTAGATGCAGGCCCCATCTCCACTGGGACTTCTGGCACAAACATTTCTAGATAGTTCCTTTGAGACTAGAAGGCAAATACAAAGGCAAGTGCTAGATTCTGTACCTGGAACAGGGCAATCCTGGATACACGTATGGACTGGGGAATGAGATGCTGGGGACCTGCCCTGTGGAAAGGGATCTGGGGGTTCTGATTGATGGCAAGTTGAATATGAGTCAGCAGTGTGCCCTGACAGCCAAAAGGGCCAACCATGTCCTGGGGTGCATCAAGCAAAGCATCACCAACTAGTCAAGAGAGGTGATTGTCCTGCTCTACTCCACACTGGCGTGACCCCACTTCAAGTACTGTGTGCCGTTTTGGGCACCACAATATAAGAAAGATATTAAGCTATTAGAGAGCGTTCAAAGGAGGACAACAAAGATGGTGAAGGGTCTAGAGGGGAAGCCTTATGAGGAGTGGCTGAGGTCACTCGTTCTGTTCAGCCTGGAGAAGAGGAGACTGAGGGGAGACCTAATAGCGGTCTACAGCTTCCTCACGAAGGGAAGCCAAGGGGCAGATACCAATCTCTGCTCTCTGGTGACCAGTGACAGGACGCAAGGGAACAACGTGAAGCTGTGTCAGGGAAGGTTTGGGTTGGATATTAGGAAAAGGTTCTTCACCAAGAGGGTGGTTGGGCACTGAAACAGGCTCCCCAGGGAAGTAGTCGCAGCATCAAGGTTGCCAGAGTTTAAAAAGCGTTTGAACAACGGTCTCAGGCACATATCCAACTCAGGATATTCTATGATTCTATGAATTATAAAAACCAAGTGAGAAATAGAATCATAGAATATGCTGAATTGGAAGGGACCCATCAGGATCACCAAGTCCAACTCCTGGCCCCATGCAGGATTCCCCAAGAATCATACCATGTGCCAGAGAGCACTTGTCCATAGATCAGCCACCCTGCATGTTATCCTGACCTTTAAAAGAAAAATCCCTATGTTGTTCAAAACTATTCAGAGCAAATATCCAGAAAAAGGAAATATTTTTTTATTCTATGACACTGTGTTAATACAATAAATAGACAAAGCTTCTGAGCTACTCAAACATGCAACAGAGGAACAGAAGTGCCTTTGTAGAGAACTATGACATTCACCAGGATGGAAGAGCTTTGTTAGTAATTTACAAAATATACAAACATCTCCTAGATAAATAAAACCAACTCCTAAATTACAGATCAATGACTACAGACATTCCAGTGTTTAAACTTTGTACTCAGTTTTCCACAATACTACAAAATGACAACTTAAGTGGGCACCATATTCTGATTAATTAATAAGAGGTTGTAAAATCCAATTTTGTTAGGTACAAAATATTCTAACAAATATCAGCCTTCTGTTGTCAAAGCTAAACTCAAACTTCTCCCTCACTTTTGGGCTGCAAAGTATCAAAGATTTCTGGTTTAAATAATTCATGTGTAACTGAACCTTGAATTTCACTTAGGAGGTTAAAATCTGTACATTCAACCCGTGACATTACAAATCAACAATCCCTATATATAGAACATTAAATATGTTTTCCCAAAGAGGAGTTAAACATTTGCGGGGGGTGGGGGGAAATCTACCTGTCAAATTCAGGTTTTATTCCTAATGTTTCTTCCATAATATATTCTGGTAATGTATGTTATTATGCAATCTTAAATTAAATTGCAAGGATGATGTCCCTAGGATTCATAGCCAAGAGATATCCAAGAGAATTGCTTAAATTTAAAAGTAATCCATAGTAGAGTTCCTAGATAAAACCATCAAGGTAATTTAAAAAGATTATGAAAAGAACAATTTTGATATACAGCTGTTAGAGGTGTGATGTCTGATCTTGAGAAAATTGTGGCTTCTGTCTGGAAAGTATTTAATAACATTCCACACAAATTTAAGTTCAATGATAACATGTCCACTAGCATAGAATTTTAGAGCCCCTATTACATAGAATATTTAAATTACTTTTAACTTCATGATGAAGAGAATATTTAGAAGCAAGTATATTCATTAATATATGAACTTCAGCATAGGTGAAACTACTACATTTATCCAAATTCAAGATGGATTTAAAGAAACTGGTAAAAGAAAGGATACTAATAGGGACTTCATGGTAACAGTACAGTCCTGACTAGGGGATTAAGCTAAAGGTTTTCTTTTTTGTAATACTCTTATGCTATTATAAATACACTGCAGTGGAAAAGATTAATCTATGAAAGTCTGTTCACATTCAGAACATTAATTTTATGCTCAGTTTTACTAAAGGTAATTCACCCTAAGAACTGAATTCCTTTCAGTGTGTACTTATATAGGCCCAGGGGAAAATACACTGCACTGTCACTGCAGAGACCCGGGTTCGATTCCCGGTCGGGGCCCCTCCCCGGGCAGATGGAGCTCGTTAGCCCATAAGGCAATCCATCTACGTCCTGAGGACCTCGCTGCCACCGTCCAAGCGTGCTTGGCCCCGGCAGATGAACCTCAGGATTAAAGGGTGGGCTCAGT